TTGCTTGATCTGATTAGCTGCCGCAACTTCTAGTATCATGTGTTCTTGGTTTTCCGCGTTAGGCTCAAGCCGCGAAAATTTCCTAGGAAAATGCTCGTGTGTTTTTCCATTATTTGTGTCTCACATTAAGCCTAGGAACTTTTTTCACTTTTCCGTTTACCGCTTTATAGGGGCTTTTCTATAAGTCTTCTTCTAGCTCGGCCAAAGTCTCTCCAGCACTTATTTTTGCACTTATTTATGGGTCGTTTGAGCTTAGCCTTTTTCTGTTTGGGCTGAGCAGGATCTGTCGTTGTCCTAGCAAGCCTTCTGCAAGGCTCTCCTGACCTGCAAATAGCGCGTACGACTTTGAGACGAATTTTGAGAGTTTTACCAGCACCTGGATTCTATCTGTTTTTTCCTTTTTAGGATATCTTGTAGAAGCACTCGTCAACCTGCAACTTTATTCGGAACGCGTTGGAGTCCTCAGTGCCCTCTGGAGCTTGTTGTTGCTTTGCAACCCTTCCTAATGGTTCTTTCAGCGCCCAATCGTAACACGTTTTGTACCACGTTCCAGAGGGAATTGCAGTGGTAATCGTTTAGATTACATTTCTATTAGCAGTAGCCACTTTTTGACCTCCATTTCCTCTGAGCGAATTGTGAGGTCACTGGACTGGTCGATTACATGTAGGTGCATCCTGCCTTTATAGCCAGAAGGTTATTTGCCACCTATATTATTTCTCATCTCCGACTAGTTCGGTCAAACCCTCGTGTGTCCGAGGCAGCATTGCAGTCAGTGGCTAGGAGGACCTTAGCTAGTAACTACACAGGATGAATTGAAGCCGAAAGGTCGTCAAGGGTAAATTCGAAAGTTTCGACTTGTAGTTCGGAGTGATATAGCAGAAATATACCCTTGCTCTTAACCGCATCCAAGAATTTGGAAGGAGCCTTCTGTACAGATGAAAACGATCCTAGAAATGTCTACAGAGTGATCTGCCCTGCTATTTGCCAAAGTTACGTTCAGCTCACTTATTAAAGTCGAGTTAGGCTTCCCGTTAGGCTCTTGGTCGAGATCTATTCCACCAAAGCATGGGCGGGACAACTGCGGTCGCAGCTGACTTTCATTATCTTAATCTGAATTATTGATGAAGAATGAGAGTACCTTACTGTCCGCGACCGGGTTCTCCGAACTAGGACTATTCGTCTAGCCCTCTTCTTCGATAACGTTCCCTCTTGTCCTTTTTGTGATCAGACCTGGCACGAGTTGTTTCAGATTGTCTTTCTTACATGCATTAGCATGGAAAGTTTGCTCAGCTTTTTTAAGAATTGCTTTTTTTTTTCTGAACATTGGGCAAATCATGGAACTCGTGATATGAACATCCTCTTTGCACTCATGATATGTCTGTTGGTGCAAAAGCAGTTATTATATGCTACAGTTATAGCAACGTCTTCATCCAACTATGTTGTTTCTGCTTTCCTTAGCGTAATGTTTTAGTTTCTGGCAATTGAAGCAGGTCGGTATTAAAGTTCATACCTTGGGGTATACTTTTCAAACATTATCCTTTTTAAGAGACTAGTTTGTAGAATGTTTGGCGTAGAAGCGTTACCAGACAATGCCCGCTTTTCTTCGTACAGGAGTCCTCTGTACGCATCCTAATTCGCTCAGCTGTAACTAGTTGATTCCGTACTTTTTCTCTGTCTGTACGGCAGCTAGGAGAAGGTCAATTTTCTGTAGTACTAGCATCGTCGGCGGATCTAAAGCGTCCCGTGCGTGTTCTTACGCAGATGCGCATCCCCTCAAAGATTTTGCCTCCACCTAACTTGGTTTCTGCTATATATTAGCTACTAGAAGACAAGGTCCTCGAATGTCTACAGTTTCTCCATTTCGTACCCGATTCTTTTCTGCTACTCGAAGTGCTACTAATGTTTCTCCGTTTTTTTGCTACACTTGATAAAGAAAAATATGGAATCCTCGGTCACCTTAGAGCTCTTATCTGCTTGTTGCATCTCTCGTATACGACGTAACTTGTTGTTCTTCTGCTAGAATAATTCATACTGTTTCCCCAAGAACGAAATTGTTCCAGGATTAACCTGTTTTTCTGGATTAGGGTAAATTGTTTTTCCGTAGTGTTTCTACGGTGACCTAGAAAAACCATTTTTTCTTGTTCTCCTTGAAAGCTATTATACTTCAACTTTCAGCCTTGTTATAATGGCCTGCATTAAGTTGTACATGTCTCCAAATTGCCAACGAAGGTCCCTAAGGACCTTGACGGTTTTGTTTAGTTTTTTGAGAGCTTCATCAAAGCCCAATTGTGGGTCAGCTACCAAGACATCTAAAAATCTTCCCTATTTTTTTTCGTAACCTTTTTTAGCAGCTAGCTTAAAAGTATGTTCAGCGTTTCCGGGGCGCTCGAGACTAGCATCCGCTATTCTCCTGCGTAGCTGTGCTCGTTCCTCGCTTCTTCCTTAATAGTTGACTCGCTCCCTCGACCCCGTTACAGTGGTGTTCCTAATCTGTTCAGACGGAACGTAAATTTCAACCCCTCCTCCCCTTTCCGTCTTCATAGGCTGATCCTGTTGCTCGTGGCGAGCGGCGTGCCCCGAGCACCCTAAGCGTAATCTTCTCCCATTGAAATGATCCAAACTCTACGGGCCTATCACTTGTTATGAGGGTTTCACGGGAAGAGAGGAGGAGTCCGAGTTTTCCCTTAAATATAAAAGTTTCGGAGTTTGACTTGCCGAGGAGAACAGATGGTAGCGACTTACTCGCTGTACAAAGGTTCTTAAAGCTGACCTCTTGCGCGAGCTCAGCATTGAGAAGTTGAGAGCTATTACACCGGCTGAGAAAGTCTGGCAGCAGCTCCAATCTAGGGTCTATGTGAAAATGAGAGAAGAATGGTATTGGTGATTTTGAGGCCACATAGACGACCTTCTGATCAATGTAGAACGTCGCCTGGGATATCAAAATGACCGAGAGGAATCGAGGAATAACCTCGGCATCTGGTCGATAGACTTACCCGTTTGAAACCTGTGCCGGCACTGCCATCCATCGGCGAGGTTGTAGGTGCACTCCCGCCATCTGATTTCTGAATGTAATCCTTCGACGCCTAAATTGATCCGATTCGCTACGACAGCGCATCGCGCCGGGAAGGTGGAGAGCTGCACAGAAACAATCATTCCTAGTCCGGACGTCAAGCGGAAAGAAACGTTTTCTCCATTGACAGTTCCTCGGTTTACGGAGCACGAACGCATAAAGCCAACTTAAAAAAGTTGCTTAAAATCCTCACCTCAACAATCAAAACGCAATTATTTCTGGATTGCTAATCTGATTGTATCTAGCTCTGCTTAAACAAAGTGTACACCTTGAATAGTAAATTATAGTTACACGTACAAATATACCTGTGACTTCTACGAAGCTCGCCTCTACTTTGACAGAACGTGTTTGCAAAAAAGGAGTACCGGCTTAAGTGATTTTAAGTATTTAAGGCAAATTAGCAATATATTAGGATAGCGTTTTTTTTTTCTACCTATCGTAGACAATTTGTTACTGAAGCTTTCAACACGATATTAATTTTTTTTTTTTGCTATCGCTGTGTTGCCCTTGCCATTGCCGTTAATTCAGCCATCTAAGCATGGCGCTGTAGTGTCTAAGACTAACTATTTCCGAAGTTGGTTATTAATCACAGTGAACGTCGTTCCCGTATGTTGTCATTATTTCCCGAATTTTTCGTATAAGTTACAAGATTTTACTCTACAAATGATATTACATTATTCTGAACCTTCCTAAAACATGAATCTAAAGATCAAATGAGAATGGCTGCGATACAACCACAACTGTCGAATATTAAGCGAAAAATTATTTACAAATAATTCATTCACCTTATGGTAATTTTTTTCTATTGTTACTCTTGTCTTTAACTTAGTTCCTCTCCCCGGACAGCCACGGTTTCCACTGCGGAACAGTGAAGAGCTGCACTTCGTTTATCCGTCAGCTCAAATCTGGAATTTGCTTTTCTTCCATTTATACTTCCGGCTCCTGTCCCAGTTTCCTACTGTTAACTAATTCTTTGAGGCAGTAGCACCGGCATCTTAACGCGGTGTTTTTATCAGCACCGCCAACACATCCTTAACGTGGCGTTGTTCTACCCTTCGTCCGAAGTTTAGACGCCCTCACGTTTGGCGTTGGAGACCACGTCATCATTGACACGATTTTAAACCGCGCCCCCACTATTGTTCGTTCACTGTTACGGGTGTAACAACACAGCCATCAACATCAGTAAAGGCCAATGTAGCGCTGGCGCATGGGTGTTCTGTTGTGTTTGCATAAGTTATGTGCATTTCATATTTTCCTATGGGACCCAACAGGGGAACTGGAAGAAGCGATTGAAAATCTAGAGGTCGACCCAAGCAATGTCCGTTCCATTCCCACGCTTTCCCAATCTCTCTGAATCACTTTCTTTGCCCTTTAGTCAAACTATAATGGAAGTGTCTATCGTACCCAAACGGATGCGAGTCGGGTGAGCCGACTCCTGCTTCACGATGCCGAGGTCATCGATTCAAGGCTGTGGCGGGTTGAAATGGTCGATTTCGATCAGTCGTATTGAAGTGGTCGATTAAATTGTAAAAACCAGGGGCAAAAGTGAATAATAGAATATTTGTCATTGTTGTGAGGAAATTATTACAAATCGCACAATTCAGTTTGACGAAAATGAAGAGGTCTACGTAATTAAGATGATTAGAATGGTCTAATCAGTAGCCAGTAGCTTGCGCTATAGGGACAGCCTAAGAAAAATATCTGGAACGGAGCTTAATGGATGCGGCGTGTCATTTCTTCGCCATGTCTCTCTTTACTTTAAGCTACATGTAGGTGACTAGCAGGTACCATTAACAAAACTGCTAGATTAACTACTGATCTGTATACTTCTTCCATTTATTTATATTCGTAAACTCTCACGGCTTGCGCACATCATACAATATTTTTCCAATAGATGTGACACTAAATGGATTTATTTTTCTTCCTATAGGCCTTTCATCAATGACGACGCCAATGTACATTGCGGAAGTATCTCCAACAGAGTATCGTGGAAAGCTGGTGACCGTCAATCAGTTGTTCATTACAGCCGGCCAATTCATTGCTTCAGTCGTCGATGGAGTATTTGCCGCTGACGAACGCAACGGATGGAGGTAAGATCAAGGTTTCGGGTTTTTTAAAGCGAAAAACATCTGTTTTTTTAAATTCGCATTTAACTACTTTAGAAATAATCTACTGGCTGAAAACGTGTATGTTTAAATATTAAGATTTTTTGTGCGTGGCACTATCGTTAAACACTGCATAAAATGGCTGGCCTGTTCCGGTTTGGAACTACGTGTGTCACAGCCCAGTTTTGAATTTAGGCCATCTCATGAATTTAGCAGGTAAATTCGTTACCATTGCACCGTCACAGAAATAATCTGTAGGCATCAGAGGCACCGCTTTTCCTCGTTCGTGAAGATGTATAATTTTATACATTTGTGCGAGATAATCCCATAATACAGCGTAGTTAGTGCCAGTCATGGTGTAAAATTACTTCAAACTTTTTTTATCCGAATGAAACCAACCCAGACCCACCGCTCGCTGCGCACACATCCTACCACTTTCATTTTTAGCTAAACTTTTAATCTAGATGTTAGAAGTCTATAACATAGAATGCCATAAGCAAGTGCCGCCATTTACATACAATACATGGAAGACGCGTACATTTTCAGAAGCAGTCAATGTAACCCGAATGGATGATGGTATTTGCCGGATCAGTTAGGCCTACCCAAGTGGCTTTACTTTCCCGGACGTACGTTCATTAACATAACATAATGATTCTGAAAGGAGTAAAACAAGAATATGATACAGTAAAATACGAGCAGTAAGCCAGACTATGCAGGTCTCATCCGCCAATTACTGATGAAGCAGATGCCACTTGATGCGACTATGAGAGATGTCTGAACAGAAGGTCTGAGAACGCCAGATGCTGATAACTGAGATTTACGTTGTTAATCCTCTGCAAAGACACTGTTGTGCCGTCCCAGTCAGTAAATTTACATCCAACAGCCTATAATACGGCATAACGATATCTTTATGTAGTGGAAAGTAATTAATAAAATATAGATTTGATTGAGTTTGGTAACACTTACATGTAAAAGTTGGAAATGTATCGTTATTCATTGACGTTTCAGTGAGTTTGCTTCATTGATTTAAAAGACAGACAAGGCAAATTGCCGATGCTTAGTTTAATCGATTGTATCAAAATCCGCAAAAAAAAAGATTAGAACTGGCGGGAGATGTCTGGGTGGAATCTATTTTTCCCTCATTTTTTATTTCGATCATAAACAATCTAGCTTGTTATATTCTACTATAAATTGCAGTAGCATGTATTGTGCTATCATTAGACTGAATCGGCGGTACCGCCGATAGTCAGCCTTTTACCAGTATTCAATGCCGCAGGATTTGGGTCTGGTGCAGAATGTTCGCAAGCTGCTGAAAGGGGCATAGTCCAAATGCTGTCACCTTTTGAACTGGTTCGTATTATAAGATGGCACTAAATATAGTAGATATTGAAGTGATAGAATAAGCGTCATACAGTCGAATGGGATAAAAGTGAGCCAAAAATCACTGGAATATAGGTCATTTCAAAATTCGGGTTGACTGTGGTCCTGGCTATTGCAGATCTTTATTTTTATCGGCGATGCACTGATCTGCTAAAATTAATAAAAATCATCTCGAGATTTTTTCTCTATATGCTGCATTGTTCCAATGCGTCGTGGATCATGCGCGAATTCTATTGGTATAGGCTGTGGGCATATCACGAACGATAGCGATTAGGTTCGCTTATTAGGATGACGCGTACATAATTTCTAAATCGATTTTTCGCACAAACTTTTTTTGCGAAAAGTTCGCTTATTTTTCGCAGAAAATTCGTACCACTTTTCATTATATTTGCCATAGCAATCGACATGAAGGATGCTGATATAAATTGATATTCATGTAGTTTCACTGTGAGTCGTTACCTAGGCTAATTGGGCTTCAATGCCAATTAAAATTGTTCGATTTCGAAATTATTCCGCATACTCTTTTTTGCTAAGTGTATGCGACCTTTATAACGACCTGTTTTGATAGTTGTTTGTTTTAATCGAAGCAGTACGGCGGGCGTATATTGAAGCATACAGTACCTGTATTATTGTATGCGTCAATGATGGTTGCTATAAGATCCAATATACCGCAGAATGAGAAATTATCTTTTTACCGTCTATTCTCCCTAAGGGAAATTAAACGCCGTGCTATTTTAGAACCACACAGCATGCTAACTCACTTCTATTTCTTTCTTTCTCACTATTATCACTATCGGTCTATACCAAGGCGTGTAAGAATTGCTAGAAAACATTAAATCCTTTTATTTCGAAGAAGTACGCAAACTTTCAATAATTATATTTTTTTAAACTTTCAAATCAGTATTTATGAGTTTTGCATAAATAGAATAACGTCTACCAAGAATGAATGTTTGAATACGACTGATATATCATAGAACGGTCTTAAATTCTTCACCTGTCACACTGATGGGGTGCATGCTACCAGAACGAAATTATAGAACGAAAAGGGTAAATAAAGGGAAACGCCCAAACGTTCCTACTAGCGTTGTCAGAGCATCGCAACGTGTACACTTCGCATCACACGAAACATCATAAAAGGAAGGAAACATCGAAAGGGTTTAGTTTTACACGATAAATAGAAATGTGAGTAATCAAACTTTCAATGTCAATCCGAATTAGATCAACTGGTCCAACAATGATTAGACCACCATTATCATTTCTGCTCCTAATACAGCTTTCCTCATAGAAATAATATGAGATTTTTGCTTTTCTCCACAAATTTCACCTTTTTCATTAACTGCTTCTAATTAAAACGTCATTGGTAGCAACAAGACCTTTGATTATCAATACGAGGTTCTCGGTCCAACTTTCGTCAGAAATGGAACGAGAGGCGACGTCGGCACAGGTGAGGAAGAAACTCACGCGACTGCCTTTCATTGCTGCTTGATTTCCCTCCGTCGTTCGAACACTCACAGGCAGGATCGTTAGTTAAAAAACCAAGAGCTAAGCAAAATGCAACACCTGAGGCTAGAACGAGCCCCAGGGACAGCTGGACAAATGAATGTGTATGCCTCGTCGCTACGGAGGTTATGCAAAACCAGAGTTTCAAGAACGGCAAACTTTACCTTTTGTTGTATATTACAAGGAACGGTTCAGCACAGAAAGAAAAATAGCTAGAAAAAAACGGCTATTTTGGCGAACCTAGAGATTGTCTTGTTTTTCTTCTATGTGCAAAAGGGAAAGCTGCCTGCGCCTCCGTCGACTACAACTCCGAAAAGCGAGCAATGCATCGAAACAAGAAAATTCGACCAACGGCTACTATAAAAATAGTCTATAGATCGCCGCGTATCTTGATGGAAATCAAGAGGCGCTGCGGCCAAATCATTGTATATATATACAAGAAACGTTATAATTCATTAGTTGATTCATAGGTGCGGCATTTCCGTTTGATGGGGTGCCTATAACGCAGAGGCCATTCTCTGCGCCACTAGCACTGCGATTCATTTCTAGATTAGATGAAGAGGCCCAGAGGCGAGAACGACAGCGCTCTGAGCAGTTCTTCCAAGTAGAAAAAAACATTTTTCTGAAAAAGATGATAGAAGAGGCCTTTCGACCAGATATGACGTAATGTGAACGGCGATACCAGTGTAGCTGTGCTCTTGAAACGTCGGACCGCAAGGAAACTGTCAAGCAGCTGTGTATAGATTATAATATTTAACCATGTGGCCGTCCAACGCGTTATGTATAATAAAATTTATGCGTACCCTTTGTTGGGTAATAGAAAATCTAAGTCATACAAAAACATGTACAATGTATATTGATCTTCATAGCTTTATTATTATTAGTATTAAAACAAAATTTACGAGAAAAAATATAGGAGCAGTTTGATGTGTATTGTATGGGTCGAAGTGTAGAGACCATGTTGAAGTGAAGAGAACTATTATAAACGGCATACCATTTTTTTGCACGTCTGGCGAGGTTCGTTGGGTAGAATATTCGGTAGCTTTTCATGCTTTCTTTAATATGTCTCTAAGATAGTTACGACTACGCTGAAGATTTCGATAGAAACGAACTGAGGAATATTATTTTGTCGCTAATTCAATCTAATGGACGTACTAGCCGCTTCCTTTTCTAGTGCTGTGAAAATTATGTAATCTGGATCTGTGCCGCAGCCATGTACGTGGATGATGCTAATGGACATACCACTTTTGGCTTTGTTTTTCTTTCCGTGGGGTTACTGCCATTCCGTTAGCTCGGAGAGCGATGTTTACCGAAGGCCCAGTTGGATATAGGCAAACTAGACTTCTGGCCATTGCATCCGACAGTATATACCGAAAAAGTTTTCTTTATTTTTTTTTCTAGCATGTAGGGTATATCATCCTTCATTTCCCTAGGAAATAAACCAACAGACGCTACTTGAGCCGGGCATCGTTAGAACCGATAGGCATTTTCCTCTTATCGCCAAGCTATGACAATATGTGTGCTATTACCCAGCATCGTCTTCAACCGCAGTGAAAGCAGGCTTTGCAATTATTATACTTTTTATTATAAATTGCTTTTACTTAGGCTTAACGCAGGAAAAATGCACTTTCTTCCTTATTAAACCTGAAGCCCTGCCTCCAAAATCTGATCGACCTCCGGGGTGACGAGATAACGCGTAGCCAACTATCGCAGTGATCCAACGTAGCTCAACATCGCGGCGTATTTGGTTACTCAAACACTGAACCATCTACGCTTATGGAAGCATTATTGTAGACTTTTCTAGTATGTATAGGGTTTAATTTAATTGTGCCTGTTTTATGATATTTTTCTATCATGTCTTATGGTAGTATGTGTGTACGAAGACTTGTTTCAAAGTAGACCTGGGTGTAATTATGATGTTCAATAAAAAAACAAAACGTTAGAAGTATATAGGTCAGCACACATATGCTTATTAGTCTAAATTCTGTTAATCGTCAGCGCTGGAAAAATGCACCACAAAATCTACGCTGTCTTTGAAGACTTGGACAAAATTACCATTGGTTTTTAGCACGCTTGTAATGTAGCGTTATTATTTCGGTTCGTCA